GATGCACTTTAAGTATTTATTTATTTATTTATTAGTCAATTTACATATTTCCGCTTTTATTTTTCATTATGTCAGTTTCGGTCCTCCGTACTGCAGAAGCCTGATAATCACCCATTCATTCAAATCAGGTGTGTTTGAGCAGAGAAAAAAATAAAACATGCAGGGCTGCGGCCCTCGAGGACCAGGATTGCCCACCCCTGGTGTATTGGTTTGACACCAAAAAGTAATCAGTTGTGAATGAACATCCAYTGATTAATTTCTAAGAGTTTCTGTAAAATGTGTCCATTGGTTCATGAGACAGTTTGCTCACAGACACACAAAAACAWAGACTATGGCCTTATCATAAAGAAATGGCATTCATCAAATATGACCATATGGCACAAAATAAGTAAACATTATCGACATTTATGCAGCTAAAATAAAATAAGCTCATAAGGTTGCATTAACCTGCAGCTGCTATTGGTTGGTTTCCTTCATGGCAAACATTTCCATTGGAGGATCGAGTTTGTGTTGTAGACGCGAAAAACGACGCTTGTTGGGAAGAGAAGCATCATGTTACGTTCAGCGGTCCTCTTCCACCCTGTCTGCATCCTGGGGGTTGTAGTTCTCAGTGGGATGTTTCAGCTCGAATCCAGCTGCTGCTGAACAACAGCTCCCAGAATGCCGCGGTGGGCTGGAAGCTGTCGTGCTTGTGTTTTGCTTTGGTTTTTTTGTTATTGTTTCGGGTTACTGGAGGAGCTGAGCCCGARCAGAATATCCTTTAGCTCTCTGGGACGTTTTGGTTGCTGTTTTCTTTCGGAGTTTAGAGCCTTAAACCTCCGAAACATACAAGCCTCGTTTGTAGAAAGTGAGGAGTTTAAAGGTATGAGAAACCTCAAAGAAGACTAAAAGGTAACGTGCGCAGTTTTTTTTTTTTTGTAGTTTTAACAAAAGCCTGCATTGTCCCATTTTATTATTATTCGCGCTCGCGACACCTAACGATGATAACATATAAAATCCGTACCTATTTAAGTTGCTGCAGTGGCTGACATCACACGTCAGTTTGAATAAACTTGTCTCGACCCGCGTGGCTCAGTGTTTATTCGACATGTGCTGCTGCTGCTAGGCCCTGTGTATGGCAGGCCGTTGTATCATATAATGATGTCCAATTCTGGTCCTTGAGGGCCATTATCCTGCATGTTTGGAGGTTTCTCTGTTCGATCACACCAGATTAGAACAAATGGGTGACTGACAGGCTTCTGTAGAAATCTAAGAGTTAAATCAGTTACTGAATCAGGCCTATTTTACCAGAGTTAACAACATCACACATGTATTTCAAGAGTTAGTACTACTGGCTACCATGAGTATTAACTTTTTAACAGTTTCTTGATAAAGAATATTTTTGCAGAATTTTGTAATTGTTGCTACTTAATATTCTAATTAATTAATTTTGAAAATATATTTCTAACTTGTTATTAATATTGATATTAATAACAAAATTGATATTAATAACAATTGAAATATTGAACAGCCTTAATGCCATTTTTACATATGTTTAGAAATTTTTGTTATTATGTTAGAGCTCTCTGAAATTGTTTTTATGTATTTATTTTATTTGTGGATATCTGAAGCTGAAAGGCCAACACACAAGAATAACAAAATTAATAACGTGGAATATATCTGAAATGTTGAGGTTGTTAATTGTAAGAACGATTTTTAAAACAGTTGATCTTTTTTTTTTTAACTAGGAGCAGTTTAATTATGAATATGCACTTTGAAAAACAGTTTATTGTGTAATAAACAGGCTTGCCATAGTGAAGTGTTGATATGAACCATCAAAAAGTTGCTGTAAATATTTCAATGTGCTTTGTGATTATCGACTGTGTGTAAACTACATTTATAATTCACGCAGGTTTAGAACCAGCGTGCTTCAGTAAATGGAAAACATTAAACCTCCCATAATAAAGTTTTGTCATCAAAATGATTAGAAGTATGTGAAAGTCATTTATTCCATAATTAAAGTACATATGAACTTTAAAATATATATACAGTATATTTCTTGCTTACTTGTTCTGTAATGTTAGTCATCATTTGCATTGTTGTTGATGACTTGTGGTTTATTATTTATTTATTTGGTCATTATCATAGTTAGGAACATGTGATCTATCCTGGAAATAATGCTTTGTCTGAGCAGACAGCTGCAACCATATTAAAATAGTTTTCATGTTAGCGATTATTGACACTTTACACTGCAGGTGMTAAAGCACAGTGATTTTTACAATAACCAAAATAGCCACAGCGAACAAACGTGTAAAACGCCATGTTGCTCAAAGCCCATCCTGTCAGAGAGGTTTAGGCTCTAGTGTCCTTTCCTCAAGTGTCCTCTCAGTCAGAGGATCGTCTTACACCAAATAAATATTCACGGCTTGCTCGTGATTGCTCACCAGCTGTCACCTTTTACCTACTTCRCTGTCAGCTGGGCTTAGCCAAGCTTGTCAGTTTGTATCTTTACCTTGTAATAAATGGTCTTTTATTCCTGTTTTTTTTCCCAAGGAACAATATAGCCTGGATTTTTGTCTTCTGTTGCCATGGACAAGACTTGGCGAGTGGAGTTTAGGAACGTGGGCCGCACTTACTTCCCTCAGAGCAGAGTGGACTGTCACTACACAATAAGCTCACTGCACAGCTGGGCCAGCAGTGACTGGATTGGACTCTTCAAGGTATTGTTGGCCCGACAGCTTTCACAGAATTGATCTAAATAGAAGATTTATTTGTCTATGAGAAAATAATGTGCGCTTAATTTCTTCCTCAGGTGGGATGGACATCAGTGAAGGACTATGAAACATTTGTTTGGGCCTTGGCCCCAGCTGACTATGAGGAGGGCACAGATGTCAACAGCTGTGTGCAGTTCCAGGGTACTCACAACAATATGTCTTTTCCATTGTTTAAAAAAGTCTCAAAGAGCACATAAAACCTTTCCAAAACTGAATTGCTGTGTTGTTTACAAGAAGGTTAGCAGCTTGGGCAGAGTGTGGGAAGATGTTGGTTATTTCTGTCTTGAGGAAGAAAGAAAACATCATGTGCACAAGACAAATATCCAGCTTAGCCTGCTCTTTWACACAGAACCTCTCTGTCATGGTTGGAATTAATTTCGGCTGTAAACAGGGTGTTGAGTAATGAAGCTGACAAAGACAGGAGCTGAAAGGCTACAGTGCTGGCTGCCGCTGCTCCCCGGAGAATAACAGTGTTCACTTTGTCCGGTGTGTCAGCGGTGGGGGCAGCTGATAAGCCTGGTTCCTCTGTGAGGGGCACGTGTGAAGCACATGTGGCATTGACTCGAGGCAGAGGGATAAATCACTAGCTTTAACATACTGTCAGTCCCATTTCTTATGGGAAGAAGGCTAGGTGAAGGTCGGGGGGTGGAGTACTGTTAAATCCTYATCAAGAGGGATTAAAAAATAGAAGGTCACCTATTTGGTGGTCTCAGCTGATCCACACAGCTTTGGTTAAACTTTAGTGATATCCTGACGTGTTGTAAAACAGGTATTAAAGGAAATTCCTCTGAACACAAGGCAAATGTCAATGTTCAAATGTAAACAAACAACTCTCATTTTTGCCAACAAAACATGATTCTGCTGATTTTGCTCATTTATTACAAAATATGCAGTTGACTTTTGGTAATGATTGATGCGTTTTTAGTGGGTAATTATTGATGATATTCAAATACAAAAAAATTCAAATGAAAACATTGAAAACTGCATATTTTGCCAGCTTTAATGACTTCATAGGTGAGTGTCTCAACAACATGTTGACCTGTTAGGGTGAGGTGACTGCCGCCAGCACCTGGGGCCTCATGCATAAAGAATTGCGCAGCTTTCACACTAAAAGTTGACGTACGGAAAAATTTAGAAAAGTGCGCCGCACCAAAAAATTCAGATGTATAAAACTGTGCGCACGCAGGTTCCTGCGCACCTTTCCTTTATACATCCCAATGAACGTGGAACTGAGCGCACCTGAGACACCTCCCCTGACACGCCTCCATTTAAATAYGTAAAATAGATGTAAATGTGTTCAGTCCTCTGTGGGATCAGAAATGATTTTTAGATGCAGGGAAAATATAAATTAAATGGAGAATGAGTGAGAAAACTGTCTAAATAAGTAGTGGGGTGTCATTGTTTTACTGTATGTGGCGCATTCGCACAGGATAACAAAAGCCTGAGATTTTCCTGAAATTTACAGACATCTCCCGAATGTGATACTGAAGCCTGGTTAGGTGTTGTCTATTTAGTTGAACACGATGTTGAACAGACATTAAAAAACAAAACAAAAAACAAACAAAAAAAACCCATCACGTTATCAACTTTTTCCTCTCTCCTTTCCTCCTGCGTTACAGCAGGCGCTGTCATCCACGGACCCCCACCTCACCTCACCCCACCCCACCACCACGCGCGGGTACGAGTGGTAGCTTATGGATTTTTAGCAAAAAATATAGATTTTTGAGGTTCATTAGACAGGTAAACGTCCAAAGGGACACATACGTATGAACACCTTCCCAGCTGGCGAGGGTGCGCGCGTGCCTGGCACTAGAATCTACCCAAAGCGCTAGCCTGCTGCGCTCCGGCCACAACTCAACTCAGCATCAGCCAGAAGGCTACAAACAGAAAAAATAATTATTCTTACCGTATAGTGAGCCACCATTTGCATCTGATTTTGCTCCCTCTCTTCAGCCTTTTTTATTTATTTATTTTTTATGCCGCACGTAATGTGTCGGGTTTTTCTGGCCCGGGACCCAAAAGGTTTTCAACTATGTGACAAAAATATAAAAACAGTTTACTGACTGGGCTGAGGTTCTTTTGATCATTTTTAGGCTGATCTATTTTCCTGTCTGAGGTTAAATGATTTTTAGTCCCGGGGTTCAGTTTCATGATCGTTCGAGTTTAAACAATAAAAACTCAAACTAAAAAAAATTCTAACAGCGTGTTCAGACACTCCTTACATCCAGAAAACACAACAAAGTCATATTTCTGTGGATTCAGGTCAGATTCGTGATTTGTGGGTTAAAACGGTGGACTGAAAAACGTTGCGTGGCTGCCGCACTTTCTCACGGCAGGTGAAAACACACGCAACGTTAGTTTTGATACATCACAACGTGGGCGTAGAACCTGGCGCACGTAACTTTTTTTATACGTACGCACCATTTATACATGAGGGTCCTGGACTCTTCTGAATTCAATAAATAAACTTCTGTCAACTCTATTCTTGCAATAATAATAATAATAAAAATAATATTGATAAGAAGGCATTTTTAAAAGGCTCCACCACATCTCAAGTATTAGCTTAACACAAGACTGTGGGTAAAACACAAGAACATAAATTTTTTGTGGCTTTAAAGGATAATTATAAATTTAGAGGCAGAATGTGTCAGCTTTTTTGCTTCMGAGTATTGAAGGTCTGCCTGTTGTCCACACCTGCTGCCCATTACAAATGTTTAGTTCATTTAGAAAAGTGTGGAATTTACTTTTTGTATTTTTCAAAACTGGAAAATGTTTTTGAAAAACAAAATATTAAGGAAAAACGTTGGTGTTTCTAGACTTTAATCCCCCTTCTATCTTCTAAAATTTTCTAAAAATAAATTGTTCTGGTAAGGTTTTAATGATACATAAACAATAAACATAGTTTTAGTTTACGGTACATTGCAAAGTGATTTGTTAACCTTACTATGTAAAGAAATATATTTTATACATACATACATACATATAGGCAAAATCGTATCATATGTAATTACTGTAATCGTCTGAAAAACTATAAAAACTAATATTTGTGAGTGCGACACACTGCCAGGTGCACATGTGAACACAATGACGGAAAGCAATGTGAACCAGCTAAGACTAACCATAACTTGTTTAATCATATGAAACACTGACATAAACCGGAGTATGAGGAAAGTCAGAAAATGCAGACCAAAGCCTCAAAGTCGGCCACATGTGAGTGCAATTGTCATTTGTTAATCGTCACATTATTCGTTATCCGCTAAATGCAACAAATAATCTTAATGACATTTTTTTGACAGTATCGCTAAACCTTAACATATATATTTGCAGATTATTTACGATTTGTGTTTTCACAAGTTAGAACATCCCTAATAAGTTTTTTGTTTTGTTTTTGCTTTTAATTTTACTGTAAATGGTATTTCTTTTTGCAAAATGAAAATTATATTGTACATAAGACTTGAGCTATGTGATTAGGAACACAAGTAGATATTTTTTAAAGAAATGTTGTGTTTCTTGTTAACCGTTTTTTGCATACAGTCTATGCTATACATTTTTAGCTGTAAACTTYCAATATAGCCTGAAAATCCACAGTTAAATATTTCTCATTTTTGTTTTTAGCCTCCTACTTGCCCAAGCCCAGCTCCCAAGAATACGAGTTCATATACGTTGACAGTAAAGGGGACGTGTGCTCCCAGAGCTCCAAATTCACATTTTGTGCACCAAAGCCTCTTGAAGATCTGGTGACCCTTGAGGAAGAGTCTCATGGCGAGGATGAAGGTACAGACATGCTGCTGGTAGTACCCAGGGCCGAACTGCTACAGGTGAGCGTTACCAACAAACCAACCCATGAAGTACCGGGTCAACGTGCTTTCAGTGTTGCAACGATAATGAGTGTTTGTGGGAATCGCACGTCCTGTAAAATGTGGCTCAGTAATTTTTAGTTCTCACGCAGAGACTCGTTTTTCCTGTCCCATGTCAGAGCCGGCTGCAGGAATGTCTGCAGGAGCGCGCCGAGCTGTTGCGCGYGCAGGAAGTGGCAAAAAGGCAAAAGGAGGCGGTGCGAGAAGAGTGCAAGAGGGCAAAGGAGGTGTGGGACAGACAGCGCAGAGGGCTGGAACATGACATCACCAGGCTGGAGGAAGAGCTGATGCAGAGTCAAGGAAAAATTGAGGAAATGGAGAGGAAGCAGAAGGTGATAGATGAAGCCTGACTTTTCCATACTCGATGTTTTGATGTATTTGATGTATTTATTTAACACATAAGAAGTAAAACAAAGAATAAAACAATAATTCAAAATTTCACATGCAAGGTAAGGGTAAAAGCCTGAATAGGCTTACGTAAAATCCACTCCCAATCAAATCAAACTACAACACAGCAGTAAAAAACCATAAAGTAAAAATAACCACACAAATAAAAGTAACGAAAATGGAACAAAATCAGAACAAAAATAGACATCAAAATACATACAAAAATAAGAAAAATCTAAAATCACTTGAATTATACATTACAAAATCAACAGCTTGGTTTTTAATTTATTTTTATACACAAAAAGAGATATTGAAGGTTCCACAAGCTCAACATTAGAATTCCACATTTTAGCTCCATAAAATCTAATTGAAAATTGGTCACACAATGATGTGTATAATGGAAGATGCAAATGAAAAGATTGCCTAGAAGGATAATTATGAATTTGTGAGTTCATATGAAAATAGCTTTTAATATAGGAAGGCCAATTTATATCATAAAGAGCTCTGAACACAAATGTACACGTAAGAAATAAGTTTATATCAAAAATATTCAACAGTTTTAATTTAAAAAATAAAGGTGCACTAAGGGTATCAAATTTCGAGAAGGTAACTATTCTTATAAACTTTTTCTGTAGAATAAATATTTTGTTCAGATGAGTTGGAAATGTAGCTCCCCAAACAATATTACAATAGGTGAGTTAAGGATAAATTAAACTATAATAAAAGATTAAAAAACAAGATTTATAAACAAAATGTCAAGTCTTGCTTAAAATTCCAATAGATTTTGCAATGTTTTTGCAGACGTCCAATATGGTCTTTCCAACAAAGTTTCTCATCGATC